CATCGTATGATATATTATAAAAATGCAGTCATTGTCAGATTAAATGCAACAATAATGTTTTAAGATAACTCCACACGCTTTTAAATCATGTCGACGGTATATTTCGTCGAGTGTCGTCGCAGAAATTTTTTTTTTTTTTTTTTTTGTCGATCACTGATGGATATTGCGTTGCGTTTTACTTAAATAGCTTCCTATACTGTTGTCGTAGCTGGTGCCACTGAAGCTGCCCACTACTCAAGAGTGCCAGTGATCATTTAATAAAAAATAAATCATACGAAAATGTTTCTTTTTGATTGCCATCATATCAACCGCAACTTTTTATATTTGTACAGAAGACGCGACAATTTGATGGCGGAAGAAGTGTCTGAAAACAGATTTGCGTTTAAACTGAAGCACTTCTTGCTGTTACGTATTTCCGTTTTTTTTTTTTTCACTCCTAATGTGGAACATATTTTTATATAACATTGACACTCACATTTGTTTGTTTATTTGCTGGTTTCCTTTATGGATCACAGATTATTGCAATTTGTAAATTCAGTTTTCTCTTCATTAGAATGTTACTGATGTTATACTGAACCGCCCCTTTGTCATTTGTAACGGTTATTTGTGCGTGTATATATCTATAAATATAAAATATATACATATTTAATGTATGTGTATAGTGTATGAACAGTATCTGATCTGTGTACATATTTACCAGTATTTAAATCAACCAAAAAAAAAGTCAAAAGGCCACTTAGAACAAGTCAAAGAACAAGTCTTCAGCTTGAATGTCTGTCTGTATGGCTAGATTTTTGCTGTACTCTGTCCTGTCGTTTTGTTTCGTTGCACAGCAGCCTTAGAGACGAGCCCATGCAGGTTTATCAGCTCATTTACAGCATAAATCATTTGACTGCAATGCTCTTTTTGATTCACCTCATCTTAGATGGGATCTTTAAGGAAAGTGTGAATGAGTTGCCACATTAACAGGTCTTGCAGGGAGACGGCGATGTTGCCAAATTGAACCGAACTACCTGCTTCAGGACTTTTTAAGCTAACAGTGGACGGCGTGTTTTCAGACAGCTGAACAGCCTTTAATGTAATCGTGTCCTGTTTTTTTGTTTTTTTTCTAAACATGTAGATGTGGACGTGTACAAAAAAAAAAACCTCTTTGACACTAGCTTTGGTCTGCACTTTTCCGTTTCATTTTGAACGTTTAAGGGATATAAGGGTATCTGACCCTGTAGACTACGGATGCAAGTTATAACTGTTGCCATGTATAAGATAAAATCAAGTTTGTATACTTTCTTGAAAGCTATGGGAGACTTCATGAGGGTCATATTTTATTATATTTCTTTTTAATTTGAAGTCATTTAGAAATTTATCAGAAAAAAAAATACTTGTGGAGTTGAAATTATGCAGCACCCTTCTGGATTGAAATTATAAAATGTATATTAAAGGCCTGCACACAAGCAACTGAGACCTGTACGTAATTTCAAGAGGAAATAAACATCCTCATGGGTAGATTTTGTGTATGTTACTACTGATCAAATGCTGCATGATTCCAGGACTAACTGCATGTGTTGATATAACAGCTGCACAACACACAAGCACACGCACAGATCCACAATATTGTCATATGCTAGTAACTCTATACATTTGTATCGGATGTCGAAGGAGAGTGGATGTGCAACTACAGTTAAGAATAAAAATATTCTTACAACAGAAAATCCTGTGCAGTTATTGGGTGAATCAAATGTTTAAACATTTATATTTTTTTAAATGCACTGATTTTTCTTTTTTCTTTTTTTTTTTTCTTTTTTTCCAGTTTTAAGCAGCTTCTTTGAAATTTTGCAAATAACAAATGAGCTACATTTGAAAGGGTATTCGAAGACAATTCAATTTATTGACCTCTTCATTTCCCCCGTAACAGCTGAAAATGGCTGCATATGAAAATATAAATATGACACTTGTAGTTTATTATTACATGTGGGCCTCTAATAGTCTTGATGTATGCTATGGCAGTTCCTGGCAGTTGTTATGATATAAATACATTTTTTGCAGCTACTGTTGTCAATTAAAATATAATGGAACGTGCAGTACCTTCATTCATGATCTAGAAATCAAAGCACCTTCTAAAACGATTGAGACTAAGAAGCTTTCCATGGGAGCTATTTTTACAATGAGACACAAAATATATTAACTCACTTTTCCCATATTATAAAGACATATGTTAATCAAAAACCTGCTGAGAGCCTAGAGTCTCAAGCCTGATAGATTTGTTGTTTTCCCGCTATAAACAGTTTCATGAATTAAATTAAACTGGCAACATTAAGAACCTTTAATGGGTAACACTTTATAACTTTTAATAATATTATGAGTAATGAGTTTCAAATAGATGTGAATCAAACCTGAAAGTGGTTATAATAATCAAATGCGAATGTATATGAGCTAAGTATTATATACAGGGTTCACATGGTCATGGAAAGCCTGGAAAAGTTAATAAATTAATAAAATCATTGATATTATTTTAATTAATTTTCAAAATAATGAAAGCCATAGAAATGTCAATAGTTAACGTTTATATTTCTTGTTATTCTCAGTTCTGATGCATTAAATTGATGAGAATTTTATTTTATTTTTTGTCATTTTAAAATAAAACGAAATTTTTATAGTTATTGTTTATATTTTTTGGTGTGTATATATATATATATATATATATATATATATATGTATCAACTGGAAAATTCATGCTCAAAAGTGTGGGAACCCTGTATGTGATGTCTGTTAATAACTTGCTGTACTAATGGAAGTTATAAAGTGATATCCAAGATTATCAAAGGATACAGAAACTATCTCTGCTGTCAACAAAGAAAACCTGTAAATTCGCTATTCCCACATAAAGACACTGGACGTATTATTAGTGATAATATCAACAACAAGCCGTTAGACATAATCTGAAGTGTTTCTGAGATCAGCATCCCGGCCTGACGGCCATCTGTAAGAGCATCACCTGTCTGTTCTCTGTGGGATGAGTCTTGTTGATGTGTCTGGTCAAACCCGGAGAACTGAAGAACGTGGAGGGGCAGTGTTTGCATGAGAATATCTGCTGTTCTCCAGGACTCAGATCAGGTCTGAGTAGTAAGTCATCTCTGACCGCGTGCCAGAGTCGGTGTTTTTCCCTGATCTCCACGGAGGGGAAGTGCGCTCCGCACAGGTGACACGGGAAAGTGATCTGTCCGCTTTCAATGTGGCCGTATGAGGCTGTTCTGATCGTCTCGTGCGCGGCCAGGTGTTTCCTCAGGTAGGCTTGCCTGCGAAACTTCTTGCTACAGTAGTGACACTCAAACACTTCTTCTGGAACGGACGCGGGCAGGTAGGGGGTGCTGGACCTGTCAGGCTCCTCGGGGCAGTGATCGAACAACCTCGAGCTGTCCGCGGAGCCGATATGCATCTCAAAGCATTTCTCCGAGGACGGGTACCTCTGGTCCATTGGAGGGTCTTGGGATCCCCTGTGCATCATGTTGCTGTCCGGTGCTGATCTGTGGTGTTGGGAGCTGTCCAGACTCAGCTGGTGCTGGTTGTTCACTCTCAACTTACTGGCGTTCTCCTTCCCCTCCACTGAGGTCTTCTCGTGGATACGCGCCTCCAGCTGAGACTTCTTCGCGTCTCCGGTGCTCAGGCTGCGAGGTTTGTGCCATCTGCGATGGGACGCGAGGTTGGCAGGACAGCTAAAAACTTTGTCGCACTCCGGACAGCGGTACTCAACCCGGACGATCCTGGAGCACTTGTGCTGGGCTAGAGAAAACGGATCAGAGTATTCTTCCTTACAAAGCTGGCAGATGAACTCACCGAGCGGTTTTTTTCTACCACTTTGTGGTGCTAGTTTTGACTCGGGACATTCTTTTTTGATTTTAAGCCCGAGGACTGGTGAGGTGGTGACTTCGTCTTCAAAATTGAGCTTTCTGATGACTTTAGGCTTTTTTGGTGGTTTGCTCTTGCGCTCTGAGTCCATGAACGCGCGTTTTACGCATTGATGAAAGGCAGGGTAGGGGGGCAGCGATGAGGGCACCGGTGTGCCAAACTTCATGGCAGAGTGGTTCATTAGCAGACGCTCGATTGAAGACACCGGGGTGACCAAGGGAAATGATTCTGCCATGGCTGGTGAGCTCAGACACCTGTCCAAAAGCTCCGTGCTGATGGGTTTGATCGGGCTGTAGGAGTCGGTGCTGTTGCGCGGAGACGACGCGCTCTGCTCGGGATGACTGAAGTAACTCTGCGCGTAATCGCTCTCTCCAACAAACCCTCCAGAGTCCTCCAGAAGATGTTTCTGCTCATGTTTAGAGCTAATGTCACTTGTCCATGATTCTGTAATAGGTTCCAGCACGTCCGGCACACGTGCATTTTGAGTTTGGGTAGACAGGTCCTCTTTGCGCGGCTCTTTTTCTTCTTGCGCACGCACCTTGTAGGATGTAGACGAGGCACGTTTACTCCGTTTCACTAAAAATCCTCGTGGCATCTTCTTGTCAGACTCACCCAAAGTCCAGATGAAACCACGGAGGAGAGGATGCGGGCTGGATACTGTCGCCGTGATGCGCCCCGCGCGCGTTTTATCCTTTCGGTCGCCTTCAGGTTTTGTGCGAGGTCACTGTTAGTGCCGCAGTTGTGCCCAATCAGTGCTGACATTCAAACGAGGAGGGGGCGGGACGAGCATTAATGAGCTGATCCAGTTACAGATTCATTTCTAATGGGCAGCAGACTGTTATCTCAAAGGTCTCAAGGGATCGATGGGCTCTTTAACCTTCCCGTTTTTCAGTTTCATGTTCAGCAATGTGAGATCAGTCCACCAAACTTAAACCTGAAGAATATGCGACTATATAGAGAAATAAAAATACAAATATTTCAACTTATATTTAGAGGGAATTATTTATTATTTATATAGGCTATATTAGCTTCTGAATTAAATCTATTTTAAATATGCTTCCCTGTGACCCATATTTATTTATTTATTTATTTATTTAAAACGTTTAAATGATAGTTTAAAAAATTTTAAATTTGTATTTATTTATTAGTATTCATTTGTAGATTTTTTAATATAAAATAATTCATTATTTTGATCAAATTTAAAGTGCCCCTATTATGGATTTTTGAAAATTACCTTTCATGCAGTGTGTAACACAGCTCTAAGTGAATGAAAACATCCTGCAAAGTTTTAAATCTGAAAGTGCACCGTGTATAACGTTATTGTCTCTCAAAAGAAAGAGTCGACTCTGAATCATTGAAACGAGTCGTTTTTAAAACGAATCCCAAGCCGTTTCATGTTGATGTCAACATGAAACATTAGCATATTGCTAATGCAGATTCATTCTTTGCCACTAGGTGCCGCTTTTAGAGCGGTTAAATAGCGGTTTCCCCGGTAACGCTGTACACAAAGCAGCACTGCGCTCACAAACACTGCTTTTTATCAGGCATGAAGAAATGAAAATGAGACCAATCGGACCAATCACCGCAGATTAGCATCACGCAAAGGAGGGGTTTGGACAAATTAATCGTTGAACGAATCGTTTGGGAGTCGTTGAGCAAGTAAGGTAAAAATAAATGCATATTATAAGACAATGGAAGTGTTTTTTGACCTTGCATGCATGTCAACCTGTTGTTGGGGACTCCCAAAACCAAAATATGAACCTTTCATTACCCATAATAGGGGCACTTTAATTTAAAACAATAGTTATTTTAAATTTTTTATTTTGATTTTGATAAATAATATTTGGCAAATAATATTAGCTTTATCTTTGTTGTTGTTGTTTTTTTCTTTTTTTTTCTCTTGTTTTTATTAATTTTTTTATAAATAAAATTATAAAAATGTTATTATTCATAATAGCGTACAAGAACGCTCTATTAAAATGACTGTGTTTACTAAAACAACAGCACAGGCAGGCTACAATACTAGAATAGACTATATTTAGTTGGTGGCCGAGCACGAGTGCAGTGAACGATGGGAATATGCGCCGCTGGTTTTCTCACGTGAGAGTGTCGGGGGTCAGTCAGGCTGCTGCTGATAACCTGCAGAAGCTGCGGACGCTGATAACAGACGCAGCTCTTTATTCTGTGGAGCAGGGGGCGGACGAATGCTGAAGCCACAAGCCTGTTACCTTCCCATTGTGTCGAGCTGGGGTTCTTCTCCCAGGACACTCATCATGGACGGCAAATGAGCGTGAGAACGCGCTAGTGGAGACGCTAGATAGATAGATAGATAGACAGATAGATAGATAGATAGATAGATAGATAGAATCAACCAATAACTGTAAATAACTTTGAAGACACTAAAAAATGCCTGGTCACTGTGGTGTCTGTGTAAATGTATCAAAGGAATACATCATGTATCCGCTAGAGGGCGGTAGGGAGCAGGAAAGTCTGCGCTAGTAGTTTGTGGAAAATTCTTCACAGATTCCATCTGGGACTGTTACATTGGCAGACCTGTGTGCCAGAAATACTTTGCTATGCTACTAAATATTTTGTAGTAGATATTTACTTTATTTTATTTTTGCGTCACTATTTTACAAAAAAAATAAAAAATAATAATAATCCATGAGATTGAGTTCTCAAATTTCTGTTGTGCCTACAAGGCATTGTGTGTTTGCAAGGATAAAATCATCTGCTAAATGACCAAATGTAAATTGCAAAAATGCTTGTCACTTAATTGTTTCTAGAACTGAATTGTCTCTTTAGACAGAAAGGGAAATACCACCTACACTGTATGCATATGCATTGTCTGGGCAACTTTGCATGTGAGGTTGAGAGAAACCTGTAAATTAAGTATGCAGGCAATGCACTGGCCCTTTAAAATCAATACAATCTCCTGCTTAAAGGTTAAACTACTCATAACCATTACATAACCTGTAGGACTACTGCACCCTTTCAGGTGAGATTGGTGTGGAATCACATTCCATTCATACTACTTAACCAGTGTGATTTATGGACTGAGCTTCAGGATTCCCCTCTGTGTAAAATGCCCACTGCTTGAAACTGGGAAAACTGATGACTTGTTTAAAAATGTCCTGTGCAGTGACACACACTGCAGAATCCCCATTCACACCTCTGGGAACAGCACGATTTGTTGATGGAAAGATGGGGGAAACCTGAAGGTAAAAGATTAGTGATTTACCCTATTTTCATGTTTGAAAAGTGGCCTTTATCTCTAATGTGTATTAGAAATGAAACTAGAGGTGTCTGGATGAAAATGGAAATTCCAGTGGTGTTTGGAAAGGGTGGGTCACACGTCCTTCACTTCACATTTAAACCTTCAGTGTCATTCACAGTGAGTCAGCAGGTGGTGTGTCAGAACATGCCGTTTCATGCCAGCAAGTTTCATCTAAAATTGCATCATGCTTACATGTGAGTGAAAATGTCGCATTTTTTTAGCCTGACAAACTGCTGGGAAAGTCACCATTTTATATCACAGGACATCAGGTGCCTTATTTAATCAGTTTCAAGAAATAGTATGTCAAATTATTCACATGAATTTACATACGTTACCTTTCAAAAGTCTCTTATGGTCACAAAGGCTACATTCATTTGATTAAAAATACAGTAAAAACAGTAATATAGTGAAATGCTATTAGTAAATTAACTATTTGAATACATTTCCAAATGTAATTTATTCCTGTGACGCAACGCTGAATTGTCAGCATCAGTCTTTAGTGTCACATGATCCTTCAGAAATCATTTTAGCATGCTGATTTGGTGAAATAAATAAAGTTGAAAACAGCTGAGCTGCTTCATTTTTTGTGGAAACTGTGACACATTTTTGACAATTTTTTGAAGAATAGGAAGTTCAAAAGAAGAGCATTTATTTGAATGTTTTAACATTATAAATGTTTTTACTGTCACTTTTGATCAATTTAATTTCCATGCTGAATCAAAGTATTTATTTTTCTGATTAATTAATTAATACTGACCCCAAACGTTTGTGTATGTAAAATATATACTAATATATGTATATATATATATATATATATATATAATGTTATTATATATTATATTAATATATAATAATGTTTTAATTGCCTAAGAGGCTTGTATCTTGTATATTAAATATTCCAACACTGCATAAAAGCAAAAGTACAACAATTAATGACAAATGCACATGCGTATGAAACTTATAGGAAAAATTCATTCAAAAATGAAAAATATGTCATCATTCATTTACCATCCATCTATGGCTTCCATCGAAAAGAAAAAGAGAGATTCGGCATAATGTTCACGCAGCTCTTTTCAGCTGAATTGAAAGTGAATGGCGAGTGACGCCATCAAGCTCCAAAAATGATAACAAGCATCATAAATGCACTATAAAATCAGAATATTTCAAGTTTTCTGAGGCCAGGTGATTGCTGTTACAAGGAAATTATTGGAATGTAAGTCTCTATTCATCCATAATTAAAAGATTATATTAAAATATGGTCACGTTACACAAAAATCCAGTGATTCATTGTGGGTGAACTATTCCTTAAGCATCACATCCAGATATGTTATTGTATTATTTTCACATGCATGGCAACAATACATATTAAGTATATGAGATGGTAAGTGATGAGTCAGTGGTCACGTTTAAATGTGATGGATGGTCTTTTTCCTGATGTTTAGCCTGTGAACTCATTAGAGGAAGTTTGTGTGTTTATGCGTGTGTCAGAACTGCATGCCTCAGCAAAAGAGCCAGAGGTTTTAGTAATAGCCCACTGTTCTCCCACCGAACATTCCCACTCATAAACATGCTGATCAGAGCCTTCATCACCTAACTGTGTAAGAACTCCGCGCCGGGAGCTGGACAGGACATCCTGTCTACACTGATCACATGATACCGGAAAGGAACATTTTCAGAGTTTCCGGTATTTGATCAGGTTAAATGAGTTGGGACCTGATAGCACTGCAAAGCAATTGCATTGTTGTGATTTGTAGGTCACTTTCTTACAATATCCACTCATCATCTTATCTATACTTGAATGAATTAGATTGTATCAGAGACAAGTTACTCAACCTGTTTATAGGTCACACTGATATAAGTTTACAATAGTAAAAACCTTCCCTCCTGGGAGTACGCTTTTGTGTTGTGCTTGTGGACAATGTGCATTGCAAATGTAGTTGCGTTTTAGTGGAACACCCTCTGCCCTCGGGGTTTACCGTGCATGGTTACTGTTACTATGGTAGTTGTGTTTGAGGACAGACTGTCTTGGATAGTACACATGCGTCTTGAACAAAAACGACGCATTCTCTGCTTCCTTTGTGTGAATGCCTTTGTGGGCAAATGCTCACGTCAGAAATACAGACAGAGGAGTTTCCCATTCTTCACATTATGAGGAAGCAGTACTATGTTGGCAACATACACTCTACTTCCTGGACTTTACATTAATGTACATTATCTTACTATATTAACTATTTATAAAAATAAAAAAAAACTAATGCTAAGAAATTCATTTTGATTTTTACATTTTATATTTGACTAGAATTTTTAACACACACACACACACACAGGGTTGTTTTTGTGAAAAGTGGGGACATTCCATAGGCGT